TGAAACAATTCTATATACAGATATGAAAATACAGTGGATAAATATTGTTAAGTGAGAAAAGCAATATGCAGAATAGTACAGAAGGGAATGCTGCTATTTGTTTCCAGGGAGGGACTGGGGGGATATCTGAAAGTGCATAAACCATGTCTGGAATCACAAACAAGAAATTGATAACATCAGTTGCTCTAAGGAGGGGAGTTAAGTGGATGGAAGTCAGAGGAAGAATGAAGACTGACTCTCACTGTCTATCTCTTTGTATCATCTGAATTTTGTGCCATCTGCATATATTGGCTATTCAAAATGACTCATTAATAGAAGAATGAGTTAATCCCAATAATAAAAAATACCTTAATTGAAGAATATTACAAGATATTAAGCTAGAAATATTTTATCATTTCTATAAATGCAAAAGAGTACTAAAATTTCAGTATTCATTCATTTAAAAATGTTAATAGAGGTAGAATGAGTTTTCTTCACATAATAAAGAGTACCAAATACTCTTTTATTAAATTATATTAAATGGTGATTTTGAAGAAGCTATTGTCAATTCTTAAAGATCATAATAAGATATCTCCCAAGAAACTGGAAATAAAGTTGATCCCAATATTGAGGTAGTAAGAGCCCGAGATCACAAACGTGATTAGTTATATATAGGGGTAAATCTAGAGATTATAGATTTGTGACTGAAGAGATTGGGAAGGGCCAGAATTTGAGACCAGGTGCTCTGGGAGTAATTTCAGGGAGGCAGGAGAAAATGCAACAGTAGTGCAGTAAACAGAAGCTTGCACTTTAGGTGGAAGAGGCCCAGTATACATGAGGGAATTGGTAAGCCAGGCAAATACACCAGTGTCCCCTAAATGCAGCTAAGGGGAAGGAATCTCTTTGCTAAGCGGACTCCCACATACACTTCCAGCCTTAGAGGGTTGTAACCTGTGGTAGCTGAGAGACACTTGAGGCTCACTCCTCGGCCTGATTCCATGCTTCCTGAGCATCACCTGACAATGTGTCTGCCCCTGAGTCCAACCTAAGGAGAGAAAATGTGATGGTCATGCTGATGTGAGCATTTTGATCCACTCAAAGATTGTATTTTATTTGTGAATTGCTAAACCTCAATGTCCCATTCCAGCTCCAGAGCATCCCCCAGCTCCCACCCCACCCCACCCCACCCCACCCCACCCCCAAGATCAGCTAAGGTCTTGGTTACAACTGCACTTGAGTTCAGCTTGTTATAGGTGTGTCATCTGTGAAAACCTTCTGCAGACAACTCCATCTCAAAGTCTTCTGTGGAACCCAATCTAAGATACTTTGTGTGTACGTAAGCAAACATACACACATATATACACACATGTCTTAACAAAGGAAGCTACAAAACCTTTACGTTGTCTGAAAAGATGCGAATGAATGGAAAAATAAATGTTCCAGGATGGGAAGCCTAAATATGACAAAAATATCTGTTTCCTACAATTTAATTTACAGATTGAGTAGAATCTTGGTAAAAACCCCAGCAGGATGTTTTTAAACATATGACAAAAGCAAGGAGAGAAGGGAAAATTCTGAACAGGTGAGAAAGAAAATGTATTGGGGAAGGGGAGCAAAGGAGGAAGACTAAGGAAAGTGAACAGGATCTAGCAAAGGTAAAAACCTATAAAACAGCAAAAATAAGATAGTTAAGTCTTGGTGTAAGAATAGATTTCTGGAATATAATAGTAAGAGCAGAAATACATCCTAATTTAGTATGCGATGAAGATATCATGATACAATAAGATAAACAAAGATTTTTTTCAATAAATGGTGGAGGGATAACTGATAAACATTTTGGGGGGAAGGGAAGAATTTAAACCCACACTTTACACTATACATCAAAATGAACTCCATTTGATTTAAAGACTTACATACATTTAAAACTAAGAAGTCCAGAGGAAAAGAGAATTGAATGTTTATCAAAATGCTGGCGGGAAGGTGACTCTGTACTATTGCTATAAGAAGCTATGGTGCTGGTACAGAGGAAAAATGGAAGTAGCTGACAACATGAAATTTTTCAAAAGAAATTTTACATCTAAGAAAACACCAAAATAAAGTATAAACAACCTACTAGAAGATATATTTACAAAAAACGTGACCAAAAAAGATTAATAATATTGTTATCTCAAGAACTCACACAAGTTGATAAGAATTTTATTAAGACGTCAGCTGACAACTGAACAAGGACTTGTAACAAAACAATTCACAAAAGAATAAATATTAATAAATACGTGAAAAAGTATTCAATTTTACTAGTTATCAAAGAGAAACAGATTTTAAAAAGCGTAGTATTTCTTTTATTGTTAACTAACTAAATTAACTTCACTAAATAAACTTCTACTAAGTTAAGCCCCCCAAAATTAAGATGCAAATTCCCAAATCTGGAGCCAATGATATTGGCACCTATATTCACGGAGGGTAGTATCATAAATGGATGTAATTGATTAGGAAAATAATTAAGTCCTGAAAATGTTCATGCCCTTTGCCCTAATACATCTCTTTTAGAGAACAGATCCGGAGCAGAACAGCAGAAGCATGAAGCCATTACCAAGGTCCAGAGTTCCATCCTGACACGCCTCCCCAGATCAGGCCTTCCCAGGTTATATTCCCGTGGCTGTGCTGTCCAATACAGTAGCCACTAGCCAGATGTGGCTACTGAGCACTTGAAATGTTGCTAGTCCAAAATGAGATGCACTGTGAGTATAAAATACACACCAAATTTCAAAGACTTAGGGGGAAAAAAAGAAAAAGAAAAATAGATCATTAATAATATTTATATTGATTACATGTTGAAATAATAATAATTGGGCTTAAACAAAATATACTATTAAAGGTAATTTCATCTTTTTACTTTCTTTTACTTTTTCAATGTGGCTACTAGAAAATTTTGAACTACCTATGTGGCTCACCTTCTGTTTCTTTTGGACAGCGCTGTCCTAGAATTTCCCTCACCTGTTGTGAGCAGCATCTGGGAAAATTCCTAACCAACACTGTTTTTTGTATCTAGTGTGTCAAGGCTAACTTTTTTGGGGGGGTGGGGGGAGCGGATTAGCCCTGAGCTAACATCCACCGCCAATCCTCTTTTTGCTGAGGAAGATTGGCCCTGAGCCAATATCCGTGTCCGTCTTCCTCTATTTTTTGTGTGGGACGCCTGCCACAGTGTGGCTTGATAAGCAGTGTGTAGGTCCATGCCCAGGATCTGAACTGGCACCCCTGGCCACTGACGTAGAGTGTGTTAACTTAACTGCTATGCCCCTGGGCTGGCCCCAAGGCTAACTTTTTTTTTCTAGAAAAAGGAGAGAGAAGGCTAAGTGGATGGCTCAGGAGAGGAAAGAGTCTCTGCCATATTTATTGTCCCAAGGCCCTTGTTCCCATGCCTGAAATTCTCAAATGAGCTACAATGTTGGATTGGGCTGTTGAAATGGAAGGAAGTTACCTGGCAGTGATTACTTTCCCAGATATATATCCCTCTATCCCCCACAACCCTCCACTTGGATCCATCCATTATGCCACCAGACAGTTCTACAAATGTAAACAGGTCATATCGTGCCCCTGTTTAACATCCTCCAATCACTTCCTTTCTGACTTCGAATAAAATTCACACGCCTGCCTTGGCCCCAAAGTCCACAGGACCTGGCCTTGCTTCTCTCTCCAGCCTCTTTCTTCTCCTCTCTCTCCCTAGGCTCCAGCCACAACAGCCTCATTTCACTTTCTCAGCCTGACCAACTTCTGTCCCTCTTTAAGTCTCCTGAATGTACCATTCCCAACCTAAAGTGAACTGCTCTAGTCACTTAATATCACATGAGTGTATGTTATTTCCTTTATCACACTTATAACTTCCTGAAATTATTCTTGTTGTGTTTGCTCATTACCACCCATCTCCACAAGGTAATAAACTCCACGAGAAGAGGGACGCTGTTGTGAGGGATGAGAATTGGCCACCCCAAAATATATCTCTTTGCCTTGCCTTGATTATTTTTAAGAACAAAAGACTCTGAAAGAAACTTTGACCTTTCCCCTAACTGCCTAAAAGAAATTTAAAATAAAAGCCTGTCCCCAGAGACAACTCTGGGTATCCAGTAGACTGGGAGGATCCTTGCTAAGCCCGTTCTTATCAAAGTTCTATTTACCAAACCTTGGCTTTTCCATTTCCATGTGAATTGCCTTCCTCCCCTTTGAAGCCCCAAACCACCTGCCCCAACATCCTTCTTTGTCTTTAGCTGAAGGTGGTACTCAAGATGAGAACCTCCACCGTTTTTGCGAGTTGCTTAGTTTGCCTGAGTCTCTCCCATGTATACATGTTATAAAGCTTTATTTGACGTTCTCCTGTTACTCTGTCTCATGTGAATTTACTTTATTTATTTTTTAAGATTTTATTTTTCCTTTTTCTCCCCAAAGCCCCCCAGTACATAGTTGTATATTTTTAGTTGTGGGTTCTTCTAGTTGTGGCATGTGGGACGCCACCTCACCATGGCTTGATGAGTGGTGCCATGTCCATGCCCAGGATCTGAACCGGTGAAACCCTGGGCCACTGAAGTGGAGCACACGAACTTAACCACTCGGCCAAGGGGCCAGCCCTCTTGTGTGAATTTAATTCGTAGCCCAGCCAGAAGGACCCAGAGGATAGAGGACGTGTCTTCCTCCCCTACACTGTCTACCTTGTTCACCACAGCACCCCACATCCCAGATCACCAGTGATCCCAGAACACCAGTGCCTGGTGCATAGTAGGGGCTCCATAAATATTTGTTGAACGAGCCTATGAACAAATGCCAAATTATTCCACCTACTCATCCCCAGATATGCTTTGAGTTTTCTTGTCTCAAAGAACATCTTGCCTCAAAGTGTCTTTGCTTTTGCTGTGTCTTCCCATCTAGAGTCTTTCTTGCTTATCCAAAATGACGTACTTTCTGCTTCAAGTACAAACCACCCAACTCAAAAGCATTTGATGATAAGGAGGCATTGTTTTTTTTCTTTTTTCTTTTTTTTTTTTTTTACATCTCACATAATAAGAAGTCCAGAAGTGGTGCAATTCCAGGGTTGGGTAACTCAGTGGCTCAGCATGTCTTCAAGGAACTGTGCTGTTTCCAACCTTTCTCCTCTGTCACCCTCAACATGCAGGCTGTTGGCCTCAGTTTCCAGCTTTATGTTTGTAAGGTGGCGATGGCAGCTCAAGAACTTTATCCTTATGCAACATCTCAAATAAGGAGCATCTCAGACTTAGGGAATTTCCCAGAAGTGTCTTCTGCAGAGTTCCCTTCTGCATTTCATTGTCCAGAATTGTAGTACACGCCCATTCTGAAATCAGCCCACTTCTTGCCAATTACTGGCAAGAGCAAGGAATTTCCGTGATTGGCCTAAAGAATCAAGATGTGTCTCCCTTGGGCTGGGTGAATCCCTGCTCCCCAGAATAGAGGCTTCTGAAACTTAACAAAGGAGGGGTTTGGGGTGGGGGGATGGGGTTCAGGAAGACAAAACGGTCTCAGCACAATCCACTGAGAATTTTTACAAGCCACAAAACCCTACTAGTTTTTCAAACTACAGCTCAAATCTTGAGTCTTTCATTAATCCTTCTCTGATTATCTTAACCGAAAGTAGCCACTTCCTCCTGTGAAGGTAAAACCTTGAGTTCGGGCCAGAAACTTTGGAGTCATCCCTAATTTCTCTCTTTATTCATAACCCTATACCTTAACTGTCTTGTTTATCTTCAAAATACATTCAGAATCCCACCTGGTCTCGCCACCCTCAGTCCTATCACCCTGGTCCAAGCTACCATCATTTCAGCCCTGAATTCTTGTAGTAGCCACCTCTCTGGCCTCAGACTTCTCCTCTTGCACCCCTAGAGTCTGTCCTCACACAGAGCTATCCTTCCAATATGTAGGTCAGATCATGTCACTGATCTGCTCAAAACCCTCCAGTGGCTTCAGAATAAAATCCGAAGTCTTTACCACAGCCTGCCAAGCGTTCCTGATCCATCCCTGTCACCTCTCTAACCTTATATCCCGCCCAGGCCCTCTTGCTCCCTACCCTCCAGCCATGCTGGCCTACTTGTTCTTCTTAGAACACACCAAGCACACTGCCTCCTCAGGGCCTTTGCACTTGCTATTCAGCTTGCTTGGAAAATTCTTCCAGATGTTCTGATGACTTGCTCTCTCTCTTCAGGTTTTCACTCAAATGCCACCTTATCCCAGAGGCCTTCCCTGACTCCCTATCCAAACAGTCACCTTACTCTGCTTCACCTTCCTTCAAAGCACTTGTCCCAAGTTGATGTATTATGTATGTATTTGTTTATACTCTGAATGGTTTCGTTAGAACCTAAGATCCATGAAGCCAGGGGCTGTATCTGTTTGGTTCTCTGGTTTCCCCTCATTGTTACAATAAAATATAGCATGTTATAGGAGCTCAATATGCACTTATTGGATAACTGCACACTCCTTTAACCTTTGTCATCTCTGGTTCATTTGGCATGGTCTCAAGCTGTTATCTTTTCGTGTGTACACATCCTGTCTCTTCAGCGGGAACCTAAGCTTCTTAAGGGCCAGAGCTGAGTCTTGAAGCACAATGCCTGGTATAAAGAGGCCGCTGAGAAGTTCACGTTGTTGACAGATTTGGAGGGAAGACACAGTAGGGCAATAGCAGCTGTTACCATTTTACCTCATCTCTTCTTGGCAGGACCCTGAGAAGGACAGGACAGGACAGCACATTTAGGAGAGGGTGTGGGGTTTGGGATTCTGCTCTGGAAGAGGGTCCAAATTAAGTCCTTGAGGAAAGGGAGGGCAGCATCTCTCTGGTATTGAAAGGAGAATATGGGGGCACCTTTCTCACCCCACAATCACCCCTGGAACTGGTCTTTTGAAGTTTGTTTACAATCTAGCAGTACTTTGCAATGGAAGAGGCCTCACCCTCATTAATTGGTGGCAAAGGTCTCTACTTAACAGATGCTAAACAGAAGCAGAGCAAAACCATGAGTGGTTTAAGGTCACATGGAGTCACTGCTCAAATTTACGAAAGAAATTCAGACTTATCAGGTCCCACTCCCCAGCCCCAGCGCACTCCAACCTCCTGAGTACACTGTGGAGGTCCCAGGAGGGGTGTCTGAGCCCCAGGAGAGCTGGCTCTGTTAGCCCATGCTCGTGCTTCTGCGTACAGCTCTCTCACGCTAATTCCAGCACTAAGGCCATTTACCAGACTCCAGGGAACCAGGCCACTTTCAAATGTCAATAGCATTACACTTGCCAGAGGAGAAAGGGACAAATGAGGAGACTGAAGACAGTGCTTTAAACAGAAGAAGAAAAAGATATCATTGGATGTGCGCTAATCCAAAAAAGCAAATGCCAAGAATAACTGTGAGCATTGTTCGAAGCCAAGTCTGTGCAGAAGGGACCCAGGTGGAGGAGCAGGCAGGGGCTGAGGTGGTCTGAGGACGCGCAGAGCAAATGCCCCAGGGGGCGGGGCGGGAGGAGAGGGACGTATTTTAAGCAGCCTTAAAAGACTCGTTTTAGCATTCCGCAGGAAATGAAAAGCAGATGGGTTGGTTTGGAACTTGTTTACGTATTACTGGCCTCCGTGAAGCTTCCAGGGCAGAGTTAGGACTGGAGAGAAGGGGTATTTTAGGCAAATAGTCACAGGGTCTCCATTCTGAGAGAGTGAGGCCTCTCTTACGTCTATCATCTGCGCCTTGAGAAGCAGGCGTTTAGGCTGAAGGACCCTCCTTCCCCCAGCCTAGGGCAGGTCTGGCTAAAATAAATATCAATTTGATAGCCTGGGTAGCACTGATGTGCTTGCACCTTCTTCAGGAAGCTAAGGGTTAACACGCCTTCTCTCTCGCCTTCACGTCATACCCCACTGGGCAGGGAAGCAAAAACAGAGAGCTGGGCATGGGGAGGATAATGAAGCGGTTCACATCAAAGGTCCTGAGGTTTGTAGCAGGCTTCTTAGAACACTGATTCCTGCGTCCCACCCCCAGAGTTTCTATTCAATATAGCTGGGGTGGGGCCCAATGGCCACACATTGGAATGACCTGGAGATTAAACAGGTTAAACTATACTGATAGCTGGGCCCTGTTCCCAAAGATTCTGATATTAATTGATCTAGGGTGTGACGGGCATTAGTGAAAGCTCTCCAGATATTTCTAAGGTACAACCAAGGTTAAGAACCGTTGATCTATTTCTCTTTGACATGCTGTCGTCATTACATCCCCAGCTTAATTTCAATTTACCTTCATAACATGACTTCTAGATGGTTAGGACCACAGGAGACCATGGGATCCAAATTAGGCCTAGATTTGGGGAAAAGGGCTAAAAAAAAAAAAAAAAAGTCACTCTCTGAGACACAAACTATCAAAAGTCTATGTAAATACAGGCAATTACCCTTTTATGTAATCTATCCAGGAAATAGCACTCCTAAAAAGTGTTTTCTAAGTGAGTTGCTGCTAAGAGGCAGTAAAAGTAATCATCTTTAATGCTTATTGAGCTCTTATTAGGTGCCGTGTACTCTTCCTAGTGCTTTCATTTTAAACTCATTTAATTCCCACAATAACTCAGTGGCGTGGGTACTGTTATCATCCTGCATTTAACAAATGAGGAAACTGAGGCACTGGGAGGTGAAGTAATTTGTCCTAAATCAACCAATTAACAAGTGCCAGAGCTGGTTCTCAAACTTTGGTGTGCATCTGAACTACCTACAGAGATCGTTCAAAACACAGACGACCGGGCCCCACTGCCGACCAATTGGATCAGGATCTCCTGAGGTGGGTCGTTATCAAAATTGTTTCTAACAAACTTCCTGGAGAGTCAGTTGTTCGCCAAGGTAATGAGACCACTGTTGGGATTTAAAGTGAAGACTTCGGAATTAGATTACCCTAGGTTCAATTCTTTCTCCTTCACTTGTAACTGGAATCTTGGAACAAGTTACCTATCATCTCTCCAACCTTCCATCTCTTCATTTGGAAACAAAAATGGTCGTACTCAGTTCCAGGGATGGTTCTGAGGATCACATGGGTCTAAGGCGCTTAGCACAGTGACACGGCCATTGCCAGTACAGCAGAAGGACATTTTGAGACATTAACCAGGTCTTTCCTGCCACCATCAACACTGCACATTTCACTGCCCTCTCCTCCAGGCATGCTTGGGCCTAGGGAAAAGTGGGACCCCTAAAGCTGGAACGCAAGGAAAAAGAGAGTTGGTGCTTAGTTTTTGAGATCAAACAAGGTTACTGAACATAAGACTTAGACATGGGAGAAAAGACTTTCTGAGCATTCGGGAACTATATGGGCCTGACCAGTAGACAAATAAGACTAGTCCAAAAGAACTCCCTCCCTCTTCTCCATCCAAGATAACCAGTCCTCAGGCACTCTAGTAGGGTTACCTGGGCTGTAGGCTTGTGTGGTCTCCAAGGGAGGCTCCAGCCCCATGACATCTTCCCAGGGTGAATCCCCTCAGAAAGGAGGGAACTACAGTTGAGGGTAGAACACCAGATAAGGTTTAAGGAACCCGAGAACAGGGGCGGCTGTGTCTACTTCCTATCTAGAGAAGGCAGCTAACACCACAGATATGCATATGCCACAGTGAGATGGGATCAGCAGAGGAAAGATGGCTGTGCAGGTGATGGTGGAAGAGAACTCAATGAGAACCTTATTTCCTGTAGCCCCAAAAAGGTGTGGGAGAGTAGCTGGACCCTCCTCATATCCTGAGGAGGAAGAGAAGTTAGCTGAGAATGACAGCCAGCAGCCCAAAGGAATCATGCCATGGAGGACCAACCACGGATGGTAACATGAGCTGAGCAACCCAGATGGGCATGCAGCCACCTTAGAGGATAGCTCTGGGTGCCAGTGCTGAGGGACCCCATGATCAAAGACAGGAGGGGGCAGTTACTCATCTTGGGAGCTACCAACTGAGAGGATATGGTGTTACATGGGTCCCCCTCTCTCATTCCCCTACCACTGAGATTCCATCTAAAGGAGCAAGGGAGAGCATGTGAGTGTGAACTAATCTCTCTGGTAGTTACCAGATAATTTTTCTGCATGACACAGAGTGGGAGTCTGAGATAAAAATTATGTTCCGTTTTAGAAATTCAAAGATACGTATATACACATCTAGAACTATCTTATAAAATTAATATCTACTAATTATGACTATCAAGTTTCCTAAAAGTCAGCAAGATATCTAGTATGACTCCCTAAAAAGTAGCACAACAATCAATATAAAATGGATATAAAGGGCCGGCCCCGTGGCCGAGTGGTTAAGTTTGCGCACTCCACTTCGGCAGCCCAGGGTTTCACCGGTTCAAATCCTGGGCGTGAACATGGCACTGCTCATCAGGCCATGCTGAGGTGGAGTCCCATGTGCCACAGCTAGAAGGACTCACAACTAAAATATACAACTATGTACTGGGAGATTTGGGGAGAAAAAGCAGAAAAAAATGGATTTAATAAGCAGATATCTTGGAAATAGCAGTGTGTCTATGATGACGAATAAGTTTTTGGTGACATAAAAAAAATCTGAAAAATAAATATTGAAAAGGAGAGCTGAAGCCCAGCATTATTGCAGCACTGTCTAAGGGGGAGAGATACTGTGTCTGTTTGACGGGATCATTATTCCAGGTTGTGGATAGTGTCCCTGCGGTCAAACACCCAGAGTTCCCATGTCCTGCTGTAGCCTGGACGCATAGCCCATGAGCCTACTTAACTTGCTTTACTACAATTTGACATTCACCAAACAATGACAAGCTTGGTTTTCCAAACACCTAAAAAAGAGTGCTACAGATAGTAGGTACGAGGGCTCCGATACACGGAAAGGTGCGTCCTGCCCTGTAACTTCATACATTGGCATTCTGATTTATACATAAGTCTCTGGTGAGTTAATTAATGGAAGCCTCCCAGATAGGGTTGCCAGATTTAGCAAATAGAAATACAAATATTGGATCTGACATACTTATACTAAAAATTATTCATTGTTTATCTAAAATTCAAATTTAACTGGGTGCTCTGTTTTCGTTCTGTCAACCCTACCAGAGCCTGCACACTGCCAGGTGGACTGATGAAATGAGGTCCTGCATCTGCAAGGCTGAGGGCCAGTGCTGGCTCTGAGACCGCCTTCACCAACATAACGCTACCCACGGAGGGGTCACCTAAGTGACCAGCCCAGAGTTAGGGTTAGTCTGTCTCTCTCTCTTTCATAATCTTTATTCACTTAAATCCTTCTCTTCATTTATACATGAAGCAAATAACCTCCCTGTTAAGCTTCCTGGGTCTTCTGTTACTTGTTCATTCCAAGACCAAATTTACAGCTTGGACAATAAATGCATAAAACTGAAAGCCACTTCTTGATGGCATCCAAGGAGGTAATTAACGTTGTCAACAACATCTCTCATGATGTAAGATTAGTCGCTGCCCTGCAGCAGCTAGTTAAATATGAAGGAAGTTTTATTGACTTTCAACAAGAAGTTTTCTGTTCCTTGATCTGAGTCTTATCTCATTTTTGCCTCAATCACCACCCTAGTCTTTACCATGCATTGCACTCTGGGATCCCCAGCCTTCAGGTCACCTTACAGAAAAGTCAGTTCCTGGATCTCTGCAGGGCCACTTCATTTGTGCCTCAGGAAAATGAAAGCAGGAGGAGCGCCACGGAAGCAGCAGAGGAGCAGATCTGGTTTACGACTCAGCGAACAAGAAAGCATCTTGCTCTTGTTCCAGGCCAGCTCTCCTTCTCAGCACTAACAGCACGAGATGTCAGCATCTTCTACTTGACTGTGGCTTCCTTTTATCATCTTCTAAAGCAGTTTCTGCCAATACAGAGACAATACCAGTTCTTTTTCCCAGACTGGTTGGAGCTAAGTTCATGCTACTTGACTCAAGCCATTGTTGAGCTCCTCCATTCCGGATATAAAGTGCAATTTTTGCTAAGGAACTAAAGAGTCTCTCTGGTGAAGTGTGATTTAGGTCATTTCTCTAGAATCCTGGATTTAATTCATTGCTGGCATTTCTGAAGTAGTTTAGGGTGAACATCTGAGATAAATGAGTCATCTCAGTCCTTCTATTTCCCATTATTTTCTAACTCAAACATTTTGAGACTAGGATTAATATATCCTCCCAATGCTGGCAAAAGGCAAGTCATTCTGTAAAATATATTGGGAAATTAATGGACTTCCATTTGGCGAGAAGTAAACAAAAGTAGATAATATATATGCCTGTTTATCTATAGATACACAGTACTGGGAGCTGAAGAAGGGTTGAATAGTTCTAAGCCAGGCTTGTCATTAGTTTAAAAAAAACCCAACTGGCCAACCACCAATTTGGTTTTTCTCAAGCTGTCAGCTGGAAGCAAAGAGAAGTAAAATGTTAAATTGAACCCAAAAGAGATTTTGAGTCTTTTAGGGTTGTTTTAAGGAGCTGAGAAGATGCTACACTTGCCCCCAGCTTCTCCACCGAGTCAACCTCCTTATGTGGCAGCAAGGGCTGCTCTCAGATTCCGGGCTCCTGGGAGAAGAGGGGAGCAATCCCTGTGCCCATTGTGGCTACAGTCTTGTGCTTTGGTGACACAGATGTGGTTAGGAAATCTCCTCGGGTTAATCACCTGGGTGGTTAGGGGGACAGAGGCAGCCAGAGGCAAGGCACACGTGGCTTCGATGGCGCCTTCCTTGGTAAGCTCTTGACAGCAGGCAGGGCCAACGGTGGTACCAGCCGCAGTGTTTGCTCTTCCCCCATGCAAGATGCAAACGTTTCCCCCTAGCTATTGCCCAAAAACATTATGAGAATCATCCAATCCACTGCTGTATAAATGTCGTCCTCGTAAAAAAAGACGAAATCTTGCCATCTGTGACGACATGGATGGACCTCGAGTGTATTATGCAAAGCGAAATAAATCAGATGAAGAAAGACAAATACTGCATGACTACACTCATACGTGGAAGATAAACATAAAACACACAGACACAGAAAACAGACTGGTGGTTACCAACAGGGGAGAGGAGTTGGGGGCCGGCAAAAGGGGTAAAGGGGCACATGTGTATGGTGATGGACGGCCACTAGACTTTTCGTGGGAAACACAATGCAGTCCATACAGTTGGCCAAATATAATAATGTACACCTGAATTTATACAATGTTATAAATCAATGTTATCTCAATAAAAATAAAAACGTAAATTAATCACAATAAAGAAATAAATAAATGTAGTCTTCATGCCCCACGTGAGATTTAGATAGCTAATGTTAGTCCAGCACCTGCCATTTGTAAAGTGATCTCAGATACACGATCTTATCTAATCCAGTTGCACACAAGCCTTATCAAGATGAGTGACTGTCATGAGGCGTCAGGAAATCACAGAGGTTCCTGAAGTTCTCCAGAACTTGTTTCAGTCTGGGAAACCATCAGTATAATCTTACAAAGAACTTCCATTTATTTGATAACTGAAAAAAAGTAAATTGCTAGATACTTTGTACAATGTGAACCCACTCGTGCAAAAGAAACATGGGTATGGCTATATAGATACACAAGAGATAGCTTTATTTATGTATCTACACACATATACACAAATATATAGATATATGTATATGTGTACACATTCAAATGTTTATATATACATAGGTATACTTTTATAATATGATTTTTATAATATTTGCTTCATATATTTATAATATTTATATTACATAATATTCAATAATTAAAACATAATAAGGTATATTTTTTTAAAAAGCTTATCATGGTGATCATTTTGCAATGTATACAAATATTAAATCATTATCTTGTACACTTGAAACCAATATAATGTCATATATCAATTATACCTTAATAACAAATAAATAAATAATCTGGGGAAGAAAAAGAAAGAAAAAAACTGACTGGTGTTAGCATTTCTTTTTCTCACTCTCACTTAAGGGAGGAGAGGTGGTTGTTGTGTTGTTAAAGGTCTAGGTTGTGCTGCATGTGGAAGACAGGCCTTATAAGCGAGGACTCGATAGGAAAACAAGGACCCCACTCTAGTTGCTTTGTCCCCATGTCCCCGTGCAAACCCTATGCTTGCCGAGGGCTAGCATGATAGCCGTGTCATTGAAGAAAGACATCTTCTGTTCCTGAGAACAACCCAGTCTCATCCGTGGGTGGTCCTGTCCATGTCTGAGTCAGAGGATCAAAAGTGTAAGACTGTACATACCACCTCTGACCAACTAATCATCCAGCCATGGGCTTGCACGTGTTAGGGCTAAAATAGGAATTGATGGCAACTCTTGTCCCAACTTCTGAGGAGGTGGTCAGGTGTAGTGGGAAGAATAGGGAATTCGAATTAGGCACTTCTGAGTTTGAACCTCAGCACGGCTCCTTGCTTACTTGTGACCATGGCTGTGCTCTTAAGCTCTCTGGGCTTCAGTTTCCCCCTCTGTTAAATATGACCAATAATACCTGTATCACAGGATTATTTCATATACACATCTCAAGTGACATTCTGTAGAAATGATGCTGAATTGTTGGTTGTCAGAGCTAGGTAACACCCCAAGTGACCAATTAGACTTTGCTGGTATCCCCCATTGACTGCATCAGATCAAATTTCTGCCTCTCTGTGTACATTGTAGTGTCACTCCTGGGCATTCACAGGCATGAATAACTTGGGTGTGTTTTATCTGCCAGGAAATAACACTGTTTGTCAATCCTTCTACAAACAAACCAACACCCTAGAGGTTGTGTTTCTGCAGGTAAACCCCACATCCCTCTAAACTGAAGGATGCTTTGAGAGACCATTAGGGGAAGGCATGAGACTCCCACAATTGCCTCCCTTCCCTTTTCTAATTTAATCTTTATTAGAAGTCCCCCATGCCTACCCCACCCTTACACTTCTGAAGACCAAGAATACCATACCTAGAGAAGAGGACCTTGAAAAACATGACAGGTCTTCCTAACCATCTAGGAAGCTAGGAAATTCCTTCGAAAAAGAAGGGTTTTTGTGTGAGGAGTTTCAATTTGCAAGAAGTTGTGCAGTCTCTTTGGTGCTGAATTTTCTCAGCTGTAAAGAAAGAAGAGCTAAAGATTACTAAATTCTCTTTTAGTCCTGACATGTTATGTCTATAATTCTCTCTCTCAAATCTTCTCTCCTCTACTCCCATTGCTCCACCGTTGTTCATGCAACCACCATATCTTGCTTGGGTTGTTGCAACTGCCTCTAGTCTCGCTCCTCCAAAATCAGGCTCCACACAGCTTGTAAACTGATCTTTCTAAAATACACATCTGCCTCAAG